TGATGTTTGCCTTGGAACAGTGGCTTTACGGCACTGACTTACTGTTCTGTAAGGAAATTGCCTGGTTAACCCCTGAAACTCTTCAGGGCAGCTCTGGAGAAACTTCTCGGGGAGCAGCACTGTGTCAGGCCTGGTACAGGGGTTCAGGGACCCACCTGCCACACAGCCTGCTGGGTATCTCACAGCCCTGTAATCCAGCACGGTAGAGTTTCTACCACAAATAGAACATTCTCATGAAGTGGGACAGTTCCCAGCTGTTGTTAGCTCCGGCGCACTTCAGGGCCCAATTGGTAGCCAGTGATTTCAGGTCCGGGTGTAGAGGTCTTGCTCTTTGGATTGTGGGCCTCAAAGGCAGATCATATCGGAGGGATATGGAAAAGAACAGCTCGTAGGTGACTGTCCTCAGTAGCTGTCATGTGCTCGCCACCAATGTCCAGCCTGGGCCCAGCCTAGCCTAGCCCTTCTCCTCAGCCGGCGCAAAGTGACAGGCTGCTGCTTTGAATCCATAGAAGCATCTGTGTGGTCTGTTCACTCCTCTACCCTCAGTCCCATCCAGCCTTGCCCTTGGATTTGTAGTTTCTGACCTGGCCCTTTTCCCGGGACTGCTGTAGGAGTTTCTCCATAGTTTCTGTAGTAATTGTGGGCTGGTGAGTTGGTTCCCTCTCAAAGCTCCCCGGGAGAGGGTTTCTGAGAGTGGTTGGTGGGGTTGAACCGCCGACCTTGTGATTACCAGTCCAGTGCTTATCCTGCAGTGTCACACCAGGATTTTACTTGTCACTTGTATATGCTGTTGAGTCGGTTTCTGCTCCTACCGCTCTGGATAGGATTTCCGAGAACGGCTGGTGAGTTTGAACTGCTGACCTTGTAGTTTTAGCAGTCCAGTACTTATCCTACGGTGCCCCACCAGGATTCTAGTCCCCCCAGTCAGGTCTCCAAGGCTGCGCATCTTTATGGGAGCAGACTGCCACATGTGGCTCTCTCAGAGCAGCTGGTGGGCTCAAACTGCCGGCCCTTTGGTAAGCTGTCCAGTGCTGAGCCCACTGTGCCACCAGGGCTCCTAGTCATGTTAGCGTTCTGCTATTTCTGTTCCGTGTGATCCACTGCACCAGAGCCTGTGTGTGGAACTTAGTATAGAACAGGAGCCCCCAGAGCCCAGTCACAGCCCATTGCTTGTCTTCAGAACGCTGCTCTTGACATCTAGACAATGGAGTTCAAGATCTTTGTTTGCTCTTGAACTTCACCAACATGGAGTCATGCCAGATGGCCTTAGCGGGGTACATGGGCTTTTCACTGAACCCTAGCTTTGTGTGACTCACCCGTGGTTTTGCGTCTAGTGGAGTACTGTACGGTGGAAATACACAGTGGTGTACATGGACTTGGAGCTTGATTTGGGCTGGTATGGATCATGTTACTCGGCATGATCTTGGTGATCCATTTGGAAGACTATCTTCTGACAGGCTCCGTGGGATCCCTGTAGGCAGCTTTGGATACGTTGCAGGGCTCTCCTGGCTCAGAGGATGTGGGTCAGCAACAAACACGTTGGAAATCTTTGTGCTGCGATGTCTCTGGGCACTGTGTGAGGCGGGGAAGCTAAAGCAGCTTCATAACTTCGGCTCTCACCTGCTTCCCTGTAATGAAGGTGACCAACTTTTCATCCCATGATACGTTTTCACCACCTGAAAGTTCAAGAAACTTAAATCTGAAATGGCTTCTCCTCTGCCTGTAACTCCCCATGGTCTCCCAGCGGGACACTGCGGCCAGGACCCGCATCCCACGCCCGTGTTGTAGGGGCTGTTCGTCAGATGAGTGCTCTGCCCCGCCTGTCTTTACCCACTGTGCTGCTGCAAGGTCAGCACTGGACTGCTCCCACAAGGTTCGCGGTTCAAACAAACCCACCAGCTGTTCCTTGGGAACCCAGTACAGAATAGCGCTACTTAGCAACCCCAAGCTCTTGGGCTTTGTCAGAGGACTCAGAGGGGTGGTGGGGTCATTTCCTAAGGAGTACCAGCTCCCAGGCAGGCTCCTCCCAGCTGGTGTCGGGGAGCTCCTTTCTCTGTGGCCACTCTGCGGACTCACACGTGCTTGCCTCTCCAGTCACAAAGGGAGGCTTCATAAAGGGGTGCCCGCCTGCTTCTGGCGGACTGCTCTTACTGATGTTGTTGGTAAGTGACGTCAAGTCGGTTCTGACCCAAGTGACTCTGAATAGAGTTCTCAAGGCTGCAAAACTTTGTGGGAGCAGACTGCCTCATCTTTCTCCTGCCGAGTATCTGGTGGGCTTGAACCACTAAACTTGTGATTCCGAGTCCATTATTTATCCTGTAGAATCACCTTACTCCCTTTTGCTGGCAGTACCATTCATAAAATCCATCACATTTCCTACACATGGTGTGAGAAATGAGTGAGAGAGCCAGCCCTCCGTGCAGGGATAGGATAAGAGATGACACTCAGGGCTTTCAGTGTACATGTAATCGGACTGCAGATGGACACTTCTGTGTTCTGCTTTTTATCACTCGGGCTTTTATTGTTCCAACAAATTTGACACCGCCCCATAGTAAATACTATCCCAGGCCTTGGATATTGGGCTGCTGGTCCCAGCTTTGGGCCTTACCTCCAGGTATCTGTGAGATACCTTCTCCTGGGGGGTCCTCGGGACCCTGTCAGTCCTGGTGTTGGTCTGCGTGGGGAGTATTTCAGACACATACAAGCATCCTGGAACTCCCAGGGTGCTTGGTGATGAGGAGTGGGTGAAGCCATACGCGTTTGTTTCAGTTAGAATGTGACCAACGCCTAGTCTACAGAATGGCTTTGATAGAATTTTAAAATCCTCCCCAAGAGTAGTCCATTTAATCTTACTCCGTCCGAGTTCACTGGCCTTGTTTCCGTCTGTGTTGGTTTTTCACTCATGTAGCATGCTATGATTTTCATACCAATATTGATGATAGTTTTTCTGTAAGTTACGCTGCTCGTGTTGGTGGCTCTGTTTGTCTTTGCTTGTATCTCAGTGACTTTCTAGGGGAGCAGATGGAGCCCAGCCCTGCTGCCCTGAGCAGCCTGTAGCCATGGCTGTGAGCAGTCAGGAGCCCGCTTTCAGGTGGCTCTCACCTGGGAGTTGATGCTGGTGTCCTTCTTGGTAGCCGTCTCAGGTGACCCGGACAGCACGCCTGCAGTGGTGAGGGTCAGCCTTGTCCTCTCACGCTACGTGAAGCAGACGCTGGGCACCATGCCACACCAGATGCCACACCACCAAGAGGTGGTGGTTGTTTGCTGGTGTATCCGAGTTCATTTCTACTTGGTACAGAGCAGACGGTTGTGGGGTGTTAGGAAAGTTGGTGTGTGATTGGATGGTAAAGAAGGGGGTTCTCTTTTTTTCAGTTTTGTCTTGTGAATTGAGTGAAAGTTCTCAAAGTCCTGGTTTTTACATTCAGCAGATGATCCACTGTTTCGTCTCCACAATGGCACTGCCCCCATGGTAGCAAGTTTTCCCACATCCTTCTCTTTAGTTAAATGTTGGCCTTTTGATTCTGAATGAATGACCATTCCATACTTACCTGTCTACGGCTGGGCTAAAAACTGGGCCCTAAGGGTGAGATCCTTTCCAGACCTGAAGAGGGGGGTCGAGGGCTGTAGCCTGGGGTTCCCCTACTCTCTTTCTGACCAGTATGCCTGGGCGCCTGGAAGTTTTGTTCCACATTTTCTTCCACTCTGCCTGAGATGATGCCATCAGAGCAGGGGCAGCTGGGCACCATGGAGTTCTGACCTCAGAAGCGTTGGACTGATGCCGAGCCGCTTCACTTCTCATCCCTCTTCGTCTGCACAGGGAGAGGCCACTGGCTGCACCCTAGATAGCTGGGCTCATGAGCTTTTACAATCGCAGATGCTCCCCCCCGAAGTAGAATGTGTAGAGCATGGCCTTTGTGGACTGTTTGGCCAGTCGACCATGGTGTCCCCAGGGCTGTGGTCCCGAGCTCCCAGGCTTATAAACTCCAAAGTTCTCCTTCTCGTCTGCTGTGTGCTCCACTCCATACAGAGACTCCCTTTCAAGGCTTACGTATGTGTGGGTACACTCAGGAGTGGGTTTCTCTTGACGTCTTTTTGGTGTCTTGCTTTTTAAATAATGAAAAGAGCCAGCCTGCATAGTCTACAAGGTGGGCAGGGAGGGGCCCAGCGCTGCTGTTGCCCTGGGCCTGGCACCTGGAGCATGCTGGGGACTCCGACACAGTGGCCTTCCCAAAGGAGCTCGCCCACCAGTAAGCAGGCTCTGCTCTGGGAAGCCCCATTGGTGGAGGTGATGTCCCAGTGACCGGAGACCAAGGCGCTCCTCTGCTGCTCTTGCTCCTCACGGACTTCTGGGAATGGTCCCCTGAAGTCGTGCGGAGGGAGGACATGTGGGGGGGGGGAGCTCAGTGTCAGGACGGATTTGGATATCTCTTGTTTGCCCCATGAGAACTGAAAGTGTTTTTAGTAGTTAAAGGGAATGCTTTTTCTCTCTTAAATAAGAAACCCTCTGTAAATGGTAGATGGCTTCGTATGCATGTGTATTTATTTTGACATGCTAAGTGGTATTTGAATCTTTGTTTTAAACCTGCTTCAAGACCTGTAACCGGTTTGGGAATTTCATTTTAAAGGAGTAGCATTTTTAAGTGATCTCCGCTGTCATTTCTTACAAGGAGCCTTGGTGGCACTGTGGGATAAGCATTGCCTGCCGACCACAAGGTTGGCAGTTCAAACGCACCAGCTTCTCTGCAGGAGAAAGATGAGGCTTCCTGTTCCCATAAAGAGTTACAGCCTCAGAAACCCAAGCCCGGTCATTGTGAGTTGGACTCCACTTGATGGCTGTGGATTTAGTTTGGTTCGGTCAGTTCCTGCTGCCTGGCTGGTCAGTATACTACCTTCAGCCGTACAACACCGTATTCACAGGCAGTGGTTAGGTTAGGGGGCCCTCCGTCCTGCGTGCCTTCACCGTCATTCCACACACAGCTCATGTTCTGTTTCCTTTCCAGGTGCACGTTCCGCTTCCCCAGCACAAACATCAAGATCACGTTCACTGCCCTGTCTAGTGAGAGGAGGGAGAAACAGGAGGCGCCCGCATCGCCGGTGAAGCCCGTGCAGCCTCAGATCTCGCCCCTGACCATCAACATTCCAGACTCCATGGCCCACCTGATCAGTCCCCTGCCTTCCCCAACGGGCACCATCAGGTAGAGTGGGCACTATGGCTGTACCCAGTGTATCTCACGTGACCCCAGTCTTCTGCACTGGGCATTCAGGCCGGATGCACTGAAGGGACTAAACAGCTGGGAGTCCTCACTGCTTCCTGGGCTGTACAACACAGCGCTCAGATGCTCCTGTCTCCTCGCAGGGATCTGTTGTTGTTAAGTGCCACTGAGTTGGTTCCTACCCATAGCGACCCTGTACAGGGTTTCCGAGGCTGTAAATCTTTACAGGAGCAGAGAGCCTCATCTTTCTCCTGCGAAACGGCTGGTAGTTTCAAACTGCTGACCTTAAGGTTTGCAGCCTGATTTGTAACCACTACGCTACCAGAGTGCCATGTAAATGTCAGGGGCTAAAGACTGAGGTGTGCGTTTTGGATGTTGGGTTTTCGTAGATTGTCTCGATTTCATGTAGATTCTGAAAACTTGTCTTTTTAGTTATGGAGCGCTGCTGAAACAGACTTGCCACAGGCAGAGGGCTCTAACAAACAGATGGATTTTCTCACACGCAGGGAGCTGAAGTCCAGCTGAGGGCGCCGGCTCCAGGGTCGGCTCTGGAGGAAGGGCCCGGGCCCTGTGTCTTCGAGTTTTCCTCCTGGGTGACCTTCATGTGGCTCGGTGGTGTTTCTGCACCAGCTCACTTGTTGAATCTTTTCTATTTCGAAAGAGATGGACTCAAGACTCACCCTCGGCTAGTCCTGCCTCATTAACATAGAGAAGACAGCCCCTTCCCTAATGGGATGTAGCCATGGGCGCACAAGTTAGGGCTGACAGCACGGACTGGGGGGGACACAGCACAATCTGTAGCAGTTGTATTCTGGATTGGCTGCTCTGACCAAGTTAAAGGGCCGAGTTGTAGCCTCCTAAGGATGGGGCGTGCTCTGGAAGCAGAGAGCTGCAGACTGAATGCACGCACACTGTGCCCACAGCCCCGTCCTCCTCGGAGCACACAGTGGGGTTCAGCAGATGGCTCCCATAGAACAGCCCAGGACCACACTGGGCCAGAGTCAGGTGGTGGGGCTGAAGGGCAGGTGCAGCAGGTGTTGTGACTCCCGGTCTTCACCTGAGTGGAGCACATGTCCGGGTGTCTTGTCAGGTGTCAGGACACAGCAGTGGGTCACTGTAGACTGCTCTCCTACCATACAGGAGACCCAGGTTTGATTTCTGGTCAGTGCACACGTCTGTCAGTGGAGGCTTTAAACCTGGTTCAGACTAAGAGAGACTAGGAAGAAAGTTCTGGCGGTCTACTGACAAAAGCTAGCTAATGAGAACCCAGTGGGTCACAGTGACCTCGCTGACGACTGCCGTGGTCCGTTGTGCATGGGGTCTCCGTGAGTTGGGGGTGTGCTCCATAGTAGCAGCTTGTAACACCCTACCATCATGTATGAGTAGTTCTAGACCCGGGGGCGGCAACACCTCTCTCCTGAGGGGGCTTTTCGCCATCCCTGTCTGAGTAAGCGCTTGTCCCGAGATGAGGAGGGTGAGGGAAAGGTGGGAGGGGAGCCTTGGGGCGCAGGCTGCTGGCCGTCTGCAGTACTGAGGGAGCAGCTGGTCGCCACCTGCGCTGTCCCAGGCTCCTGTCCGTGGTGGGTGGTCCCACCCTCGGTGTCGTCTCATGGTGGGCGGCTTCATTCTGATGGGCAGTCCCACATCTGGGTGTGACTACTTGTGGCTTGTGCAGCCCCGGCCATCTGTCTGTTGTCTCCCTGTCCCCCCGTCCCCGTCCCCCCCACTCCCGCCAGTGCTTGGGGTGCTGGGGAAGCTGCAGCTGTCTCGTCTCTCTGGTTGACGCAGTCACCGTGTGACTAAATGGACATGTGTGGGAAGGGAAGGCCGTCCTGTGCCTCAGTTTCTCCTTTGGTGGTGGTTCCAACTCATAGTGAACTTTATAGGTTTCTGAGGAGTGGTTGGTGGGTTTGAACCACTGACATTGTGGCTAGCAGCCTGGTGCCGATCCTACAGCGCACACCAGAGGCGGTGGTACTCCTGGAAGTAGACACTGCCCACATTGTGACTCAGGTGAACTTGACTTTCAGACAGAATCCCAGGAGTGGCGGAGAAGGCCTTTGGTTGTGTTTTCCTGGAGAGCTTGTGACTGAAACCCTGTCCCACCTCTTTGTCTCCACAGCGCTGCAAACTCCTGCCCATCCAGCCCCCGTGGGGCGGGCTCTTCAGGGTACAAAGTGAGCCGTGTGATACCATCTGACCTCAGTTTAATGGCTGACACCACACAGCCGGAAAATGAGAAGGAAGCCTCAGGTGGTGACAGCCCCAAGGTAATGCCGCAGTCGGACATGACGCCCTGAGGCGGGGGAGCCTGGAGGGAGGGCTGGCGGGCGGGCAGGCGGCTAGCCAGTGACCGTGGTGGGTGGCTGAGCGCTGAACTGCTAGGGGAGCCGAGTGGCCAACAGTTTGAATCTGCCCTGAGCCCAACTTTGCCTGGAGCTGAGTCTGTCTGTCCGTGAGTTACCTCTGTGAAAGAAATGGAGAACTTCTAAACAAAGGTTTCTATAGAACAGAAAGTTGGACTGAACCTCCAGCCGCAGAGAAGAGCTCTCCCAGTGTGGAGTCCTGGGGAGGACACGCACATGCACTGGATTTGGTGCCACGTACGCAGTCCTGTTATCACACATTGACGAGATGTGCTGTCTTCACAGAGCAGCTTGCTGTGTAGACAGAGGCTGAGGACGCCATAGCTGCGGGGCGTGGCCGTCTCTTGCACAGAAGCAAGTAGAGCTCACGTGTTTTGTTTCAGATGCTTTGTTGGGTGCTAACATAATAGGTCCCAGAAAATAGTGGCTCGGGACCTGTGGTAGGTTCTTGGGGAGTGGAGTTTGTGAGCCAGGGAGGGTACACGGATCTGTCTGGGAGACTGGCTGTTTCTGCCTCTTGTCACCAGGACTCCTAACTTGGTGGCTGCGTGCCATGGAGTCGGTGCCGACGCGCAGTGACCCTGTACAGGGTTCTTGAGGCTGTAGATCTTTACGGGAGCACAGAGCCTCATCTTTCTCCCACGGAACAGCTGGACCTTGCGGTTAGCAGCCTGATTCGTAACCACTAGATGTATATAAATACAGAGATTTATATCAAAGAAGGAGTCCTGGTGTGGCACTGTGGGTTAATGCGTCAGACTGTAAAGCCGTTTGAACTGCAAGGTTGGTGGTTCAATCTCACCAGCTGCTCCTCGGAAACCCTACACAGGGTCGGAATCGACTCGATGGCACTTAACAACAACAACGTAGCACAGAAACGGCTCACACTTGTAGAAATGGCAGGTTCTAAGTCTGCGGGTCAGATGGCAGGCTGCTGATGGCTCCCAGGGTCGGCAGGCTCCCTAGTCCAAGTGCAAAGAGCCAGAGGTCGGATGAGAGGCCACTGCAGGACCCAGGTCCAGCCCTTTCAGGTGGTCAGCTGCTCATAGCAGATCTCATCCTGGGGAGTACCACGTCTTACAGCCAAGTGGGCACAAACCCCAACTATCAGAGTGCTTCTCCTGGTGTGGGTGTGTGACAGGCTTTTCTGTCTGTGTCACATATTTTGGTTAAAAAAGGGTTTTAGAAACAGAAAAAGCTTACAAGAGTGTTCTCTGAAAAGCGCATGCTCCACGGTGAGGGCCCCCTGCCAACTCTGTCTGGAACAGGAGAAGCGTGGTCACCGTGGAGACCGTATAGCCTTGTCAGCCTGGTCTCAGTGACCAGGAGATGATGGCTGTTTAAGACAGGTGCCTGTGCCCCTCTGGGTGCCAGTGCTATAGGTGGATAACGCTGTGGGTTCACAGTGTCTTTATGCTGACCGCTGAGTCAGCTGTGTGGACGCGCCCCTGCCTTTGCCTCTGTGTACTGCCCGCTTAACAGTGCAGACAGGCACTCAGGTCCGCCCTTGTGGGTTTCTCGCCATCTTTTTTTTTTCCCAATAAATTTTGCTGTGACTGGAGTAAATGGTTATAGACCAGATCATCAGTTTTACGTTGAACAAATCATCACTTACCTTACTTCCCCATGTTTCTTCTTTCCTTTCCCTCTACCCCCCCTTCTGAATTTTGTTCTTAGGTGAATGCTGCACTTTTGCACTCAGATAGCTGACCATTCTGTGGGCTGTGCCTCACTGATGGTGTCCCCGTATAGCTAGGAGTGGAGTGCATTCAGTTCCAGACCTGAAGGGTGGCTCAGGTCAGGGTCGTGGGATTTCACGTTTCCATCTGACCAGTAAGCCTGGTCTATTTTATGATTTTGAGTTTTGTCCACATTTTCTCCCACGCTGTTCAGACCTTCTGATGTGATCCCTCTCAGAGCAGTTGGTAGTGGTGTAGTGGGCACCATCGAGTTCTTCTGGTCTCGGAGTCACGGGGACTGACGTTCACGTGGTTCATTACTCCTCTGGACTCACTGATTCTGACTGAGTGTCTTCAGTTTTCATCGCTCCTCTTTCGTTCATACATGGAAAGACCAGTTTGCACCTTAGATGGCATTTTAAGTTTTTATTGTGAATCATGTGATAGTTGACATGGGATGACATTAGCTTTACATTCATCCTATCTTATTTCATTTCATTGCAATGATTACAATTCCCTGCATGCATCATCAGACAGCCAAAGGGTAACCCCAGAAGCCTGCCCCACGGCCATCAACACAGCCCCTCTCCCTCCCTGAGTCTAGAGTCCTCAGCCGCTCCATCTCTCCATGTCATCGTCTCTGCTTCCATCTCTGGTATCACTGCTTCTCTAGACAGGGTCCCGCGCTCTGCTCTTCTCCCTTGATGGTCCCAGGGTCCTCCGCTCCTGGACTACAAGATCAGCCACTCCCCTCCTTTTGTTATAAAATATCTACCTTTACATTCCCAACCCTCACAGTCAGTACTGATAACAGTTATTCACTATTGAACCACACGAGTCTTATCCCCATCTCCTTTCACCAGCCCTGTCCACACAGGTTGGAAACCACTCAGTGGAGATTTTACCTTCCCCCGCACCATATGGAACTAGGTTCCCTCTTGAAAGCTTGTAAGCCAGTTTCTTCATGCCTTTGTAGTGCTCTCCCCCCCCCCCACCCCCCCATTTTGGGTAGCCAGTGTCGAAGTTGCCCATCCCTGGCAACCCTGTGTACCGAGGGGTGGGAATGATCCTTGCTGTAAAGATTCGTTCCTCTTTTGAGCTACTGCATCCATAGGTGTAGGTCAAGTTCATCAAATTGTATCAGATTACCTTTACTTCCCCTCTTCTTTCTTCCTCTAGTTGAGTTCTGGTCATCCAGCCATAGAAGCCAGGTCAAGTGGGTACTGTCTGCAAGTGTGGGTGTTCTTGTGCATCTCCCCTCACTTCATATCAGCCGGACCCATCACTCTTTGCTCTAGTCCTCTGTGGCCATGTCCCTGTCCCTGGGCCCAGGAGTCATGAGCTTTTAAGATCCCAGTTTCTATTCCCCAAAGTAGGATGTAGAACATGGTCTTTGTGGACTGTGTTAAGCCAGTTGACCATGGTGTCACTTGAGAGTAGAAGTTTTAGTTTTTAAATTTCCCATAAATAGTATCATCTTACAGGTATTTTTTATAGCTCCTTTCTCACTCCGTGTTATGTTATGTGTGTAGATTGTGTATGGGGCCTGAGGTGCCCTGAGCTCTGGGAGCAGGACATTCCAGCCTGTGGACATGGGGTCCATGCGGCACTGTGGGCAACGCCACTGTGGCTGCGTTGCTCTGGGATTCTTGCCTACAGCTCCACGCGTGGGGAACATCTGCCAGGGCGCCTGTTTCTAGGGTCTTCGCCCTTCATTGAAGGGTTCTACTTTATGACGCTTTCCACTCTGCTACTTAATTCTCCGTATTTTCCTAAATAACTCCAAACCGGTAAGTTTTATAGTAAGGAAAACTAGATCTTTTCTCAGCAAGACTGAAGACAGCTAAGAAGCGTGCGTTGTGGTAAATGTAGTCTGTGGTGTGATTACTGTATATGGTTACCTCTTCTCCTCTCCTTCTCGACAGGATGACTCAAAGCCACCGTACTCCTATGCTCAGTTAATAGTACAGGCAATTACCATGGCGCCTGACAAGCAGCTCACCCTAAACGGCATCTACACACACATCACCAAGAACTACCCCTACTACAGGACGGCAGACAAGGGCTGGCAGGTAGGCTGTGGTGGTTGGTGCTGTGAAGACTCACTCTGCTAAGAGGGCACCCATCTCACCCCTGTGTGGAAGGTCTGAACGTTGTGTGTCCCCATGACCTGGAAAGCCAGTGACCCTGCCCAGCAGACCACTGCCCCTTCGCAGGTCCCCTCTGAGCGCCGTGTGTGGCAGTGCCATTGTTTGCTTCCCACGTTAGTCACCTTGACTGTTGATCAGACGGTGGGGCAGGGATGAGAGGAGGCAGGTAGGACGTGAGCCAGTGGACGGTGTCTCAGGTCACGACGTAGCCAGGAAGGACTCCCGGGAGTCCTTCAGTCTGCTTATTGAATAGGCAAGCCTTTGGAAATGTGTCTGCTGGAGCTATGTGAGGCTGGGCGGAGCAGCCAATCAGCAGTCACCAGCAGTCAGACCTGTGTCAGGGACTCGGGCCTCCAAAGCCACTGACGTTTCTCAGTTCTTGTTGAGCCCCGTCAACGTCTCGATTCTGTGAGCGAGCAGTAGAGTAGCAGTGTGGTGTTTCATCTACAAAAGTGAGCAGAACATGACAGGAGCTGGAAGGCGAGTGAAGCAGGTGAGCCTTGTGCCCTGAGGAATAGCAGGCTGGGGCTGAGGAGGGCACGGGCATACGTGTGCAACCTCTGAGAGCCTGGAGTCCGGACAGGAATGTGGTGAATGTCTGGTGGAGGGCAGACGAGTGTGGTGCTGGTGCCCCGGCAGGCTGGGTTTGGGTGGCAGCTACGGTCAGGAGAGGTGGAATGGGAGGCCTCCTTCTGAGTGGGTTTAACGAGAGCAACCTGCCGTCTCAATCCAAGTGGTAGCCAGTTGTGTGCTGCCAGATGACCGTGTGCTTCCTGGACGTCCGAACGGCAAGGGCCTTGTGGTGCCCTCCAGGGTGTTTACCGGTTGTGGTGGCTCTTCAGCCAAGCCTCCTATGTCCTGTGTTCTGCAGACTGCCTGGTGGAATGAGAAGACGCAGTCAAGCCTGTCGGGAGGATGGGATCTGAGTGTTACCACATTCCCAGAGCTAGAAGAGCAGCCCCCCGTCTGGAGGGTCTGAGGCCGGGCTGCTCTGTCCACGGGTAGCATGTTGTGCGGTGCCACCTGGGTTTGCTTTTCTGAGTTTACGTTCTTGGCGTCTTCCTCCTGCTCCACACTGAAGACGTGAGGGCCACTGCTCAGGGCTCCTCGCTTCTCTCTGTGGCCTAGCTGAAGGTGTGGCTTGGGTATCCGCTGACTCCTCTGATAAAGCACTTTATGAAAAGGCTAGTAAGTCTCTGCTTCCAATAACCTTTGTAAGCCCTCGAGCAGACCACACGTGGCCCCTCATTCCTGGAGCTCTTCTGTAGCACTTGGCTGTAAAGTGACTTGGACACGTGTCTTCCGGTGGGCAGCCATGCTGCGGGCAGTGCAGAGCTGTGGACGTGGCCACGGTTCTGTGAAGCATAAATGGGGGCAGTGAGAGTCGAGTCTGGAGGCTGCAACCATTTTCCTCTGAGTCATTGCCAGTCAGCACGTGTCATGTGAATGTGGATGCTTGAGGAGTTGACGTCAAAGCATGATGTCAGCTGGTTTTGCCTGTGACCTGGGACGGAAGCTGTCCCTGAGGGTGCAGCCACAGAAGACCAAAGGCTCACGAGCTCCTCATGGGGCCTGTGGTGCTGGGGTTTTGTGACAACAGGAAGAGAGCTAGGAGGTGAGATCCCACTTTCTCCACACCGTCACAGGCCTGTTGTGAGCACCAAATGAAAACATGGAGACCCCTCCGCCTTCCTCTGCTCTGCAGTGTGCTTTGTACTAACGGGTTGATGAAATGTTTATAGAAGATGGGCTGACAACAGCTTTGCCTCCTGATGGGCAGGCACTACTGGGACTGACTTCCTGGGACCGGACCGGAAGCACCTCCCACATCACCTTTTCCTGAGCCCCAGTCTCTCCAGTGCCCACCTACCATTTCCTCCCTGTGCTGCACCCTGTGGCCCTGGTGTCCAAGGCCAGCAGGAAGTACTCACCGAGAAGGCAGTGCCCCCCTGAGCATGGCGCTGTGCTTGGCAGAAGGGAAACACTGAGGCATCTGCTTGGTGTGGAAACATGGCCACACTTTTATTTCTCAGGAAATAAAAGATGAATTCTGTGTTTCTGTTTTTTGTGTGTTTCATAGAATTCGATTCGCCACAATCTCTCTCTGAATCGTTATTTCATCAAAGTCCCGCGTTCGCAGGAAGAACCAGGTAAAGGGTCCTTCTGGCGGATAGAGCCTGCTTCTGAGAGCAAACTGACAGAGCAGGCCTTCCGGAAAAGACGGCCTAGGGGCGTGCCCTGCTTTCGAACCCCCCTGGGACCACTCTCCTCTAGGTAAGGAAAGGAGGCCACACAGGTCTCCTTCAATGCTTATGGGGGTGTGGGGGTTTGGGGACGAGTCGGAAGGGCCTGGTGGGTTTACCCTCAGTGCCAGTCACGTGTCGCACTTGTGGCCTTAGTGAGGTCGTGCTTGTTAAGATAGGAACCTTTTGCTTGACTCAGTGTGATGATCCCACGTTGACCGATAGTTTTTCTCTTTAATTTGGCACACGAAACGTTTTTAGCTCCTTAAACCGAAGGTTGATTGATACAGTATTGCTTGGCCTGGTTTTGAAATGACAGCTGTTTAGCTTCATTCGTAGATACTCTGTCTTTAAACACACGATAGTATCAGTGTTACACTAACTCCAGTGCCCTATGGTCTGACTGGAGCGGGTGCTGTGTTTCCTCGGCTGCGGGGCCCATCAGAGCTGTGGAGATGCCCACGTACACTTAGGGCAGCCACCGGGCAGTGGGAGAGGGCTTTCCCTGTCAGCATCCACTAGCTACTGCTCTCTTGTCTTCTCTGGACAGCAGAAGTGCCCCCGCCTCTCCCAACCACGCGGGAGTGCTGTCTGCTCACTCCAGTGGTGCGCAGACTCCCGAGAGCCTATCGCGGGAAGGTTCACCAGCCCCCCTGGAGCCTGAAGCGCCAACCACGCAGCCCAAGCTCGCCGTCATCCAAGAGGCTCGTTTTGCCCAGAGCGCCCCAGGTAAGTTGTCAGAACTGCGTGCTGCTGCCGTGTCCACAGGGAAAGCTTAGCTCTCACAAGTCCTTGTTTTAACGAAAGACCTGCCTAATGCCCTGTGGGAGGGAGCACAGTGGCTCTGTAGCATAAGCACCGGACTAACACACCACAAAGTCCGTGGTTCCGGTCCCTCAGCCGCTACGCAAGAGAATGATGACGCTTTCTGCTTCTGTAAAGGTTTACAGTCTTGGAAACCCAATATGGGGTCTCTGTGGGTCAGAACCGACTCAGTGGTACTGTACAACAACAGGTGCCGTATATTCTTCATCTGGGTGTAGGGTTAACAATTGGAGGTCGTTTCACAGGCTCCAGAACACCCACAACAAGCACTAGGGCCTTTCCAGGGGCGCTCGGTGACTGTCTCTCAACTGTGCTCTCTATGTTAATGTTCTAAGGTGCCATCGAGTTCATCCTGACTCAGAGCCACCCGCTATAGGGTTTACGAGGAGCAGCTGGTGGGTTTGAACTGTTGACCTTTTGGCTCACAGTCCAGTGCTCATCCAGTACACCAGGGGACCGGTACTATGTGTTGTTGTTGTTGTTGTTATAAGTACCTGAAGTAACACAAAACTCAGCATTGAAAGTTCCATGAAGACAGGCCCCCAGATTCACTGTACAGACTAGACACTGATGGTTGTCAAGTTGGCTGTGACTCGGTGACCCTATAGAGGCTTTCCGAGACTCAGACTCTGACGGAGTGATTGTCTGTCATGGTACGGGGCCTGTTCCGTAGAGCACAGTGCTCCCGAGGCACCAAGTGAAGTCAGCTCTGACTCAGAGCCACCCTGGGTAGGGTTTCCGAGGAGTGGCTGGTGGGTTTGAACCACCAACCTTGTGTTTAGCGGCCCAGTGCGGATCCTACAGTACCACCCAGGACTCTCAAAACACGGATTAGAATGGGGGGACCTTGCTGGTTTGCTTATTACCAAGTTAGGGCGCAGAATGAAAACGTCTGCCCTGGCAGTCTGCAGGCTTTCAATACGTGGTCTAGTGAGGTTGTCTCCAGTCAGTTGGTAACATGTGTGTTGATAAATGGGAATTCCTGGTCCCCACATGGTGCCTGTCCTGGCCTCGTATGTAGCACTTGGTCTCCGCATCTCTTTCTAATCTCAGCCCAGAACCAGCAAGAGCTGGATTGGCAGAGGCTGTGTTACAGCCCAGCTGTGTCTAAAGTCGCCACTTCCCCTGGCAGACACTATCCCACCAGCACTATGGTGACCAGGTGAGCGTGTCCGACTGTGTCTGCCTGCACCTGTCCCGATGATGGATGCCGAGAGCTGTGAGCAGACAGGCTTTAAGGGGCCCCCCAGGGAGCAGGCTGGAGTCACATTCCACACCCAGAGGCACCTTGGGAGAAGAACCTGGTGTTCGACTTCTGAACAATCAGCCACCAAGACCTCATGGTGCACAGTTGTACTCTGATATGCTCTGGGGTGCCCCAAGTCAGTGACTCGATGAACAGTGTGTCCTGTGTCCCCTCACGAGCACCCCTGGACTATCCTCGGGCCTTGTACGGGATGAGTCGTGGCGCCTCACTAGAACTTCTCTCCCTCAGGTTCCCCTCTGTCCACTCAGCCGGTTCTGATAACTGTGCAGCGGCAGCTCCCACAGACCATCAAACCCGTCACCTACACGGTGGCCACGCCCGTGACCACGTCCACCTCCCAGCAGCCTGTCGTGCAGACAGTCCACGTGGTCCACCAGATCCCCGCGGGGGCGGTCACCAGCGTGACTGGCTTGGCACCAACAAACACTTACGCAGTCGCTGGACCTGCAGTGGTCACCCAGGCAGCCGTGGTGACCCCTCCCAAGATGGAGCCACAGGAGAACGGAGAGCACAGAGAGGTGAAAGGTGAGTGTGGGCCTGTGTGGTTCCTCCAGTCACCTCTGGACAACTCGTTGTTTGTCCAGTCCTCTGAGTCGTGGTGTCCTTTGCTTTCAGTGAAAGTGGAGCCTCTCCCTGCAATTGGCCATCCCCCCCTGGGGGCCACCGGCCGGGTCATCCAAACATCCCCGTCCACACCCGTCCAGACGGTCACCATAGTACAGCAGGCACCTCTAGGTCAACACCAGCTACCAATAAAAACGGTCACTCAAAACGGGACTCATGTGGTACCAGTCGCCGCTGCAGTCCATGGACAGGTGAACAATGGTAAGAATTGCCCAACTGTGTCCTCGGGTGGGAGTGACCAGAGCCGCGTCGTTCAGGAGAGGAGGGCTCAGCGCTTCCTTCCCCACAGTTGCCACCAACTGTCTGAGGAAGTGTTCGGACTTCCCAGGTCCCACTGCGTCGCACCAGGGCAACGGGCAAGCACTAAGATGCACTCGCTCTCATCGTACCCTGGTGTGTCCCGTGGTCACCCTGGGATGTGGCTGCTGGCACTTGGCTTCCTCGAGTCTGCCCAGTGGCGGGCTGCTCCTTGGTGTGCGTGCTGTTGAGTGCTGGAGACTGCGTTGTGGACAGCAGAGGAGCTGGACACCCTTGAGCACTAGGAAGGGCCCATAGTGGGGCAGGAGTCTTGAGGGGCTCGGAATGCCTGCTCCAAGCATTGGGGGAGCCGTTCAAGCCAGCTTCACAGTATGTGTGGCGCTGCGGGTTAATGCCAGGTCGGTTTGAACCACCATGTCTACGGTTCGAGTTCACCAGCTGCTCCTCGGAAACCCTATAAAGGGTTGCTGTGGGTCAGAACCGACTCAGTGGCACTAACAGCAGCAGGGTCATGAGTGGCAGTGAGGGTTTGGAATGGTCCCACCCAGTCCTGCTGAGCCTAGTCGTTGATTTGATCAAATATTCTCCTCCTGATCAAGGTACTACAAAGCCCCCTACAAAATGTGCTGGTGGAGGTGTACTGGGAAGGAATCCTGTCCTTGTCTCCATATTGTCGGGGGACATACCATTCCACCCACACACAAGTACATCATGTTGTTCCTGAGTGAAAAAGAACGCGTTCCTGCAAACAGTCGGCAAGCGGCTGCCGAGCTGCAGTGGGCTTTCAGGGAACTGAGCTACTCTCAGAGTCCGGATGTGGTGCAGTGGGATATCTGCAAGGTCGGCGGTTCAAATACACCTGTCGCTCCTTGGAAACCCTATACAGGCTCACTATGTGTCAGAACCAACTCAAGGGCGCTTAACAACAGATGCTTACCCTCACCTCTGACCCTTATCCCTCCTCTGCAAGCCTGCTTCACGTTCATTTCTCCCAGCCAAGACCTCCGAGAGGGCAGTGACTGCATTGCATTGGAGGGTGGGCAAGTAACGGACTTTTTCTCTCTTGGTTTTCTTGTTGAGATCACACACAGCAAACCATAAACCCAGTCAGTTGAGTCATGTGAGCATCCCGCCCTCCGTCTCTGAGATGACGCTCCCCCTCTGACAGATACTCAGTGACCCCACAGGAAGAATTCTTAAAAAGCGCATAATGCGCACGCCAAACTGTTGTTTTTGAAAGTTTTTATTGTGAACTGAGTGAAGGTTAACAGCAGAGCAGTTTTCTGCTCATCACGTCCTACACTTGATTTCATCTCTGTGGCCTCAGCTACTCCGCTTCATCCCTGAGCTGCTCATTTTCACCCTCCCTCCTTCCGAGACTTGCTGACTTTGTACTTCGATCAGTGTTGCCTATTAACCCTGAAAGCTTGAGCATTCCTTACTGCTGTTAGCATCCTGCCGTAGAACTATCTGCTGAAAATGGAGCCCCAGGCCATCCAGATCTTGGTTTCCTTCCTATTGGGGACCATCTGGTTCTTCTGGTTCACGTGATCCATCATTTCATTGGACTCGGTGATTCCAGTTGTTTCTAGCGCTCATCACACTGCCTTCTTCCACACTGGTTGCATCTTAGATGGCTGCTCATAAGGTTTTCAGATTCTAGTCACTTCTCACCGAAGTAGGTTGCGGACCATTGTCTTTGTGGGCTGTGTTGTGCCAGCTGCCCATGGTGTCCCCTCAGACTATGGTCCTGGGCCCCCAGGCGTTTGTCTAAGAAGTTTTCATCATTTGCCCCCATATGCGCCACCACATTCATATCGATGTGTTTGCAGTGAAGCAGATCCCCATGGACAGGTGTGTCTGTGAAACCTTTCAGTATCTGTGGGTATATTCTCCCTCCCTCCCATGCCTGTTCGCCTGTGTGTCTATCCCTGCGTCTACCAGTAGGACACAGTTGTTGCAGGGCTGTTTATATAACAGAATTTACCTGATTCCCTTTAACCCTTACATTCCTCCCTCTTGTCACCTTGCTCCATCTTTCTTCTGCTAACCTCCCCCTTACTGTACATTACCTCCCCGTCACCCAAGTTAATATGTCTACCCTCAAGCCAGTGAATTACTACTCCCTTCCCTCCAATCCCTGGCAACCATTAAAGAATGTTTCTTCAGTATGGAGACTTTTTCTTGAGTTTTTACAATAGTGATCTCATGCAATATTTACCCTTTTGTGATTGACTAGTTTCACTCAGTACGATGTCCTCCGGATTGTGTGGTGTTTCACAGATTTGTCGTTTTGTGTAGTATTTCATTGTGTGGATGGAGCGGTTTGTTTATCTTCTCCTGCTGTCATGCTAATAGTGCAGCGATGAAGACAGGTCCCATATACCAAGTAGCGGGCTTGCTGAGCATTTGTCTTGACGCTGGAGTGCGATGAGAATTTCATGGTGGTTTTAATTTGCGTCTCTAAAGGCTAATGGTGGTGAACGTTCTTTATAATGTTTGTTGGATGTTGTTTGGTTTTAAAATCACTTCAGAGCAGGGGTTTATTCAGTTTCCATGAATCCAGAAAGTCTAGAGGCCATAAGAATTTGGAATTTTGTTCTGTGTTTTCCCTCTTTGGATCAGGAGTCATCTATGACCAAAATGCTGAGTGGAGGTAGCTGGGCCCCACCCAGTTCTTCTTTGCCTCAGGAGTCCGCTGGTCACCAGTGGGGCCCCTTTCTGCCCCGTGATTGGTGGCCCTCTGCTGTGAATTTTGTAACAATTCTGAAATCAGGAAATCTTTCAGAGTTGTTTGGCTTTACCCAGAAGCCCCTGGGAGTGGGACAGGGTGGTGCTGTGTAGAGAAGAGCCAGTGGGGAGGAGGGGATGAGCGTCTCAGCAGTATTGGGGATCCCCTTTCTCTGAACTAGAACCGGCCTCCCCTGCAGTGAAAACATGCCCTCTGAACACAGTTACTCTGACGAATTAGGATTCTCAAAGCCCAATCCTAACTAAACTGCAGGGCTGAGGGGGCTCGGAAGGGTGGGCAGGTCCTCGAGGACGCACACTGTCTGCTCAATATGGCCAGGCCAGGGAGAGGAGCTGGATGGCCCACCGGGAAAGGTGGGTGCTGGCCTTGTGAGATGCTATGGGGGGGGGGGTGGCTCTGTGGGTAGAGAGAACACTGAACTGTGGGCTCATGGTTCTAACTTGGGGTTTCTCTGCAGCTGCTGCAAGCCCCTTGCACATGCTGGCGACCCACGCGTCGGCGTCCGCATCCCTGCCCACAAAGCGCCAGAACGGCGAGTCACCAGAGCAGCCGGAGCTGAAGCGGATTAAGACGGAGGACGGGGAAAGCATTGTCATCGCTGTGAGTGTGGACGCGCCGCCCACAGCCGTGCGGGAGAACTAGGCACGAGTTCTTCCTCCGCGAAGTGTCAACTGTGGTGCCAAAGGAGGCGTGCCTGTGCCCCGTGTCGCGTCGGACGCTCCCACTCAGTGGTAAAGGGCCCTGCGGTTGGACTTCACCCCTCAGCACTGAAAACGCAAACCCGGGTGGCCTTAAGACTCCTTAATTTAAAACAGAAATCACACTTGAAAAAAAACCACACACAGCAAAACCTTGATCCAGAGGCCACGGTCTCCTTCCCTCGCCGGCCGCAGCGCTTAGCCCTCCGGGCCTCACTTCAGGACCGCGAGTCTCCGGGACCGGGCCTCCACACTGGGACAGAGGCAGGCCATTCACCTGCCACCCTGTGTGCGCCGCCGCCACGGCAGGCGCTGGTAGACAGTATTTTGTTGTTCACATGTGGAATTAGAATATTTTGAGGTGTACTTTCTTTCTTTACAAAATAATGGGGTCGTTGGCATTTCAAATCACTCCATTTCTACTCTGGAAATTTTGGAATCACACAGAACTTTTCATGGGAACCCTCACTTGGGGAGAAGAAATACTGCAGCTTCTGTTGTTTGTTTTCAGCCTTTGGAATGATTTCCTCTTATTGTCCTGTTAGCGCTCACATGCGCGGCTCACATGCGCAACTCGGGTAGCTGCAGATGGTCTGCGTCAGGGCGGCTTCCCGATGAGGCGACCCGCCGCTCCCGGGCTGCATGTGACGATGAACCCCAGGCGCCGGGGCCAGTGGCCGATGGGTAGAGAGATGCTGGGACCCGCCCAAGCTGCACCGAGCTGTTTCTTTCTTGCTCCTTTTTGTTGTTTCTTTGTGTTGCCTTTGTCCCTGGCTTAATTTTTCACTCTGAGTAAAACAAATTTAGCTAAGTATTGTATTACGTTTAAAACAACAGAACTGTTACCACTTCATTTGGGGAAAAAGATTCAATCTTTTATCACACACCCTCTTCAAACGGATCCAAGATCTTGAGTGATACGGTCGGCATTTTAGGTGTCCCTGCCTGGCTTCATCTGACGGCTTGTCCTGCTCCCTGCACAGCAGTGGACACAGGTGCCCCTGGTCAGTGTTTGGAACATGGAGGTGGTTTCTGATTCACAATAGGAAATCCTGGACCTTTCAGAACTGCATCCAATACTGAGGCTGAGTCCTGCCTTCCTGAAGAAGAGCATGCGCACGGTGAGGTGAGGAGGAATAGAAGGCCGAGGCCTCAGCCCACACCCGGAGCCACCGGGGTCAGAGCTGGGCAGCCCTGCACACAGAGGGCTTTGGCCTTACTGTGCATTTTTTGACGTCATCATCATAACATTATTTATTTAAATGTAGTTATTTTGGTATTTAATTTTTTTTAAAAAGAGGAAAAAAAAACCCTGTATTTTCCTGATGGAATGAAACAGCTCAGAATGGTATATTTAGGCAATTTTAAAACATTTATTATTTACCTAAGACCAAATATGATAAATCTGTTCCAAGTACTGCGCGTCGATCCACAATGTTACTGCAGATGTGCATATTAAAGGTTATGAGCTCCCTCACTAGCTGACCTTCTAACTCAGCCATGGGAACAATAGGGAGACTGTCCTGTGAACACGCCGTCTTGGGGGGCAGGGGCAGAATAGGCCTGCTGCATGCTGGGAGTTGGGCCTTCCGTGCAACCCTCAGCTTCCAAACACGCACAGCACAGAGACCCTGGAATGCAGATTTGGTTTTCTTGTTCAGGAGGCTTGGCAGTGAGGGAGATGATTTGGATTTCCTTGTATCCTGCATTGGCTTGGGTCGCTCCCGAGCTGGCACAAAGGAGCAACCCTGTGCTCGTGTCCTCCTGTGGGCAGTAGCCCAGGAGCTGGGCAGGTGAGTGGACTAAGTCCCCTGTGGAGTGGTTGAGCCCTGTCGTCATCCATGGAGTCTTTGGCATGGACTTGCCCCTCGTTGGTGTAGTCTAGAATGTGGCTGACGGTGAGCCTACACCAGATGTTATGGGACTTGGAGGGATTCCTGTTGGCAGAGAGGGAAAAGTGAATTGTTAGGGTGCAAAGGCAGCAGTCGAGATCAGAACACATTGATGAGGTGCGCCTGTTTTCAGGTGTCAGTCTGCACTTCCTGCTTCCTCTGGCTGCCACGTTCGGGTGGCTGAGTACGTACAGGGATCTCAGAGTTTGGGGAGACAGAGGAAACTGGTTTGCAAGGTACCGTGGCTCAGCTCTTCTTCCCAGTCTTAAAGGCACTGGACTCCTGTCAGAATGCAGCTGCCAGATCTAGTGTGTCCACATCCCGTCTCTGTTCTGGTCTCTCGGCCCAGATAGTGGGCAGTGAACCCCCAGCTATCCACTTGTGACCCCTACATGTTTTATTTTCAAGTCTCTGCTTTGACCTTTGCCAAACTTCTGAGCTCCCTCAGGGAATAGAAACGTAATGTCAACAGCTTTGGCCAGAACCAAACCATAAAGCAAAAGGGAAACTCACATAGAATCCAAATGATGTGTTGCATTCCAAAGCGTCCACGGGATGATTTCTGAATTGATCCTCCTCTGGCTTCAGTAGAGCATGCACGTGGACAGTTGAGCTCCTTCAACACACCACCCACTTTCGTCATTGTCCTCTGTCCTCTGCTAGTATACAGAGTAGTCGGTAGTTAGGGTCAGAAGGGGGGTGGGCGGGGCAGGGGCAGGACTTGGGATTTCTCTGCTGTGTGACACAGAATATAAGTAACAGTCTTGAAGTCCTAACTTAACACTCTTCTAGAAAGTACAGTGGTGATTTGTGTGCAAAAATTTGAAATTTTAACAGAAAAGTACCAAGTTCCTGAAACTCAATAAAATATTTTTATTAATTTTAATTGAATCCAGAGTATGATTGTCATTTTGGTGAGTATAAACTTCAGCAGGCATTTCTTTTTGAACTTTACGCTCTCTGAGCACCCTGAAAGCCCAGAGGACTGGAACTCATTTTCCAAAGGTTTGATGTTTTGATTCCCAGGAGTGAGGGCTCTGCTGGCCAAACCCGCACCATTGAGGGCCAGGGGCTCAGGCAGTGCTGACATACACACTCGTGGCTGCTTTCCTCTGTGCCACCAGCGTTTCTCCTGCAGACTTGCCCTTTACCATGTCTTCTTGCATAAGATGAAAGAGAAAGTCTTCCAGAGGTACACGGGTGTCCGCTCCGGTCACCTGACATGAGAGCTGGTGTGGTTCAGGCTGTCTACGGAGCCGAAGCTGAAGAACGCGGCCAGAGGTGTGGGGCAGGACTGGGACTCTGACGTGACGGCCCCTTCGGGAGCTCAAGGGAGCTGACATTGAGTGTTCAGGGGAAAGTTCCCTACACGGACGCCCTCAGTTTAGAATGCGCTGCGAGATCCCTCTTCCAAAGGGAGCGGTTGCTCACCTGCGGTTTGCATCTGGTCTCCTACCAGTGCTGGAGTCACAGATCCCCTTTCTCTCAGAGCAACTCCTCAGGGTGTTAGGGGGCCTTCTTAAAGGTAAATCGAGTCAGAGGAGGTAATAGCTACTAGAGAACATAGCTTTATTTGGGGGAAAAACTTGAAGATCTTCGAATACAGGAGACTGAACCGGTTTAATGCGCTGGACCGCAGGGTTGGTTTTGAACCTCAAGGTCGGCAGCTCCGACTCGCTGGACTCACTGGCCGCTCCTCGGAAGCCCTCTACAAGGTCACACTATGCATCGGAAATGACTCCACGGCGCTTCACAACAACCTGTAACCAGTGCAAGAGTTAATGTGGCAAAACCCCCTGGTGGCTGTTGCAGGGAGGTCTTACAGGGCCACACTTTATAAGGGACATGAATTTACATGTAATCAGTATATAATAAGTTCAGGACTAAACATAGGAGACGAGAGATGTAATGGATACTTATTAGAAATTCCTGTAGGTTTTGTGAGCAGAGATGTGCACACTTGTTGCTGTCTCTGCATGTGGCTTCAGCTGACCCTAGATAAGATGATCAGACGTGTGTGTAGTCATGTGTCTCCTGCTCTTAGAACTCCCATCTGGATGAGCACACTCCCCTCTCCCTGCACCAACAACTACCAACGGCTCACATCTGGAAAACAAAAGCAGACAGATTGGGGCAGGGTATCAAGTCTAGACCAACCAATCTGGCAAGCATTTTCCTGGACGTCTGCGCCCTGCTCATAGTTCCTGCCTTATGTTAGGGTAGCATACGTAGCTCAGTGGAGAAGTCTCAGAAAGTTTATGGAAGAATGGAGTTGAAAGATACATTTTCACAAACTTTTTGAAGATCCCTCATGTTGGGAATGAATATAAAAGTTAAAATGCGCAATAGGAGCCCTCTCCCCTGTCATTTGTCCATCTCCCCTGTCACTGTAAGTGTGAAGGGGGGGTCCTGGGGGGCGGGGGGGGGGGTAGAAGGGAGCCATGAAGCTGCATTCCCACAGACACTAAAGACAGAAAAAAAAACTAAAGGGGACCAAAGAGGAGTGATGGGGAAAGAATCTTCCTTACTTTTCTCTCACTTTGTCTCCAAGCTGAATGTATTCATAGGAAGTGTGTGCCAGCACAAAGACGCAAAACCGAAACCCTTCAGCCAAAGGCCCAAAACTTGAAAGTGCCTGGGAGGCTAAGGTGTTAGTGGGAACTCACGGAGAAGAAGAAGCCAGTGGTGAGAGCCTGGATTTGCTCGCATGGAGTGGTCTTGGCCTGATGGGATGGGTGCAGGAAAGACTGACTTCCGAGTCCTGCACACAAGGTGCCAAGGCCGGAGACTGACCCCAGGACCTTGCACACAGAAAGACAGCTAAGCTCAGGTCATTGCCAGCTAGAACAAAAATGTCACGATTAGCCAAAGGTCTTTAACAGGACTCGGCCCTATTACGTACAGAATGTCGAGGATATAATCCAAAATTACTCTGTATACAAAGAACCAGGACAACCTCAACTATCAAGAAACAACAGGAGTGGGTGTCTGGACCCTAATGTTTCAATTACCAGAAAAAGAAAGGTTATAACCACGCTCTATGAAATACAGG